TTAAGCCCAACGGCTCAATTCCAAAGGTTACTTTTTTTTTTATAAGTATTTTTGACATTCTCAAAATTTTCACACCACCAACATTATTCATCACTCTTGTTCCGTGTTGGCAAAAATCCACAAACTTACTCAATTGTTTGCATTTTTCCCATAATTTATCTTTCACTAATGGCCAAAGGTTCAAAGCAAAAAGGTTCCAATCATTCCATCGATGAAGATGTAGCACTTTGTCGAGCTTGGATTATCATTAGCGAAGATCCAATCATTGGGAATTCACAATCTAGTGGAACAATGTGGAATTAGATTATAGCTCAATTTTTTCAATTTATCCCTGGTGCCTAAGATAGGATACCAAGGTGCTTAAAATCACGTCGTGTGAATATCCAACAATCGTGTACCAACTTCTCGGAATGTCTTGATCAAGTGGGAAGGTTAAACAAGAGTGGCCAAAATGAAGTGGGCAATGTAATTTGTTTCTTAGTCATGACATATGTAGTACTCGGATGCAAAATGGGTGTATTATAATAGGAGAAGAAACCATTCTAGCTTGATCACTATTGGACTTTTGTCTAGCATGCCCCTAGGTGGCAACCGGTGGATGTAGATGGTGATTTTTCGATAGAGTCTGTTCTGAAAACATAAAACCCCCTTGAAAGCTCGAATCGTTGACAAAGGCCTATGGGTCATAAGAAAACAAAAGAGGTAAAAAGGAAAGGGGTTGTGGAGCGAAGCTGTGAAGAGAATAAAGAGTTAAGAAAAGTCATGCTGTCTTACAATGAGACTATGGTTGAGAACAAAAAGCTTAAGGTTATGCTTACGAATACTTCTACAATCAAAGTTCGGCTATAAGGCAATGGTTCCAACGGAAAAATGTCGATATCATAGCCAAAGAATTGGCCTGTTCTCTTAACTTTGAAGATGATGTCTACCGTCCCGAACCCCTCGAATATGATGATTTCTAGATTTGGATGTATGTTTTTATTTAAAAATTATGTAATTTCATTATTGTAATACGTTTAAGTTTATGAATTAAATTATCATTTTCCAAAACTTGTTTATTCATTGCAAAACATTCTTACACACCAAATTAAAAACTTATAAGAGCAAGCTTGCACACCAAACTAAAAACACATAAAAACACTTATAAATTGCAAGAACATTGCAATTTAGTTAGTGAAATTGTAAAAGGACATTGCAATTATAAAAAAAGATAACACTCAATTATCGGCTCCAAATTATGTCTAGAGGTGTTAAATGATATCAACTTTAGTGGGCAATTGGATATACCATAATCCTTCAATTCAACATAACCTCATGAAGGTTCTCTGTACCAATATGATGCTTAATTGTAACCTCTTCCACATGACACGTGTTTTCAGCGGGAACTATTTCATCATCATCATGCATTGTGGAGAATTAAGCATGTCTTCATTACCTCATTGATGTCTTATGTATACCATTGGCAAGCATGAATTTTTAAAATTATAAAACGAGCTTGAAGGATGCTAAAAGCTCTTTCAACATCCTTATGATATTGCTCTAGGAGTTTAGCGAACATTTGATTTTGCCGTTCTTGAGGATCCGAAAGCGACTGCACAAAAGTGCTCCACTTTGGATATATGTCATTTGCAAGACTGTATGGTTGCTTATATTGTTTCCCATTAAGAATGTCCCAGGCCCATGGAGCACGCCCCTTTTATGACATCATCAAACAAGGATGACTTATATAGTACATTCAGGTCGTTATTCATCCCTAGCATTCCAAAGTTGGCATGCTAGATCTGTATGACATATGATGCAATCGCTTTAAGGATTAGCGTAAGACGACGATAGTGGCTCGTGCATGTTTTTCCACTCCAAGTGCATATAGAAATTTTGTCAGTTTCTAGAGATATCAGCTGGCATACTGTATGCAAGCATAAGAAGAGTGGTTGCCATCTTCACTTGGGGTGAGAAACCAAGCCTGCCGTGTGCATCCAGTTTTTGTTGGAAATAATTGTCAAAGTGGAAAATTTGTTCCATTATTTGGTTACACAATACTCGCCTCATTTGGAACTTGTTTCGAAATTATAATGAGGGATACAAGGGACGGTCAATGAAGTAATTTTTCATAAGGTTTTCATGGGCACTTACACCATCTCTTGGTATACTACATCATCATGAAGATGTACCACCGTGGAGCGACTACGCAATTTCCTTTTTTTTTCTTTTTCTTTTTTCCCGTGTACGATCATGGGATATGGATAGATTTCCATAATGAATATGAACCAACTTTATCTACCATCATAATGTTCTGACAAAAGTAAATGAGAAAATTATGGAAGCTCATAATGAATCAGAACCAAATTCATCAATCAGAACCAAATTCATCAACCATCATAATTTTATGACAAAAGTAGATGGGAAAGTGATAGAAGGCTATGAAAGAAATGTTGTTTTTTTAATTTTGTCCAAATTTGATTTTTTTGGTAGAAATGTTCAAAAAAAAAAAAAACAAAAAAACATTAAAAATAAAAAAGTTAACCAAAAAAAAAAAAGGCTTATTTATGTACATGCCCCTTGTGCTTTTAAACTTATCTCAGATTACCACATAGGCTTTGAAACATCTCAAAATACCCCCCACACTTTTAAAATCGGTCTCACGTTACCCATTCCATCAGTATTATAGACGTTCCGTTACGTGCTTTGGGCCCCACTTCGTTTTAATCCTTAACATTGGAGAATAATGGTTTTTTCAGCTTCAGAAAAGGGGAAGGGGTGTTTGGGTGAGAAGGGGAAATTTGGAGAAGAAGGCTAGGGCTTATCAAAATTTGAGATGGGGTTCGAATTTTGGGAGAATCTGGAGAAGAAATCATTGTTTGGGCTGGGTTGCTGCTGCTGCTGCTTGTAATCTATACCCAGTTCCTAATCCTTCGCCTTGAAGATACAAATTACAAAGAACAATGATATATTTATATATCCCATTTGAAATAGATGAAAGCACATCAAGATACAAGCTCATGTCACCACTCCCTTTCATAAGATCTAGATTGGATGGGGAAAGGAATGGAGAAATGAAGGGGAAAATAAAAATCTCCATCACATACAAGATACTGCCCTGATAGGAAAGAGATCAGGTGCTGGATTTTGTTGTTTTCTTCATGGAGTAAGACTTAGTTTTTCTTTCGTAAGCTTATTATGTCCAAGCTTCCCTCCTGGAAGCCAAGTATCAGTTGGGTGATCAAAACTCTGCCATATACAACAGATGAATTAAATGCATACGTTATGACAAAGTTCCCATTGTCAAGTAGCATTGCTACGGTGGAATGAGAAACCGTTGACATAGAATGAGTTGACCGAATTTCAGTTTTGGATTGGAAAGTAGGGTTAAGTTTCCATTTAGGAAGATTTGCAATGTTGAAGACGATGTACCAGAAACAGGTTGGTTTCTGTTTGCCACCCAAACTACTGTTTTCGGGGGTAGTTTTTTGTACCATATCCCAATATAATAGTTTTGAGAGTTACCTAGTGTGAAGAAACCCAGCTCAAAAATGCCATTTGGAGAGGTAATTGTCTGGTTCCCAGAAAGAGATTGGCCTGCGCAGATAACATGAGATGCCATGGAGATACAAGCATTGAAAGTGAAACATAACAGAAGTAGAGCAGACTTATAAATAAAGTTGTTCCTGCAAGTAAATTTCATATCCTTACAAACTTGCAAAAAAGAGCTTTTTTATCTATAATTCTCCTTCCATGAGCTTGCATTAGCTGTAAGATATTTCATTCTATTAGTGTTGGACTAAATCATCAAACAACCAAAACCTAAAAAGAAAAGTAATCTCATAAAGATAAAAGTCAATAAACTGAAAATTCTATACTTTAGTACCGTACCGTCTATCAATCAAAACTTGGTAAATCAGACAATTGAATTGAAATTTCAAGACTTCATATTTCAGAGAAAGAATGGGGATGTATTTAAGCATCACTTTTGACTTTTGAGGGGACCCTAACTATAAGTTTATGATCCATTTAAGAGTCCTAGGAGATAATTCAGGTAGGCTCCCACAAATCAAAACATATTAGTTCAAGCAAATCATCAGACTTAAACAAAGAGTTAAGCTGTTGCTTCCTTTGTTTTTAACTCTTATTAGCATTAATAGTATCTGGTTTTCCAGGTTACAAAGTCATTGAAAAATCTTATGCTGTTAAGATAAAATTATAGGCCCATCATCTATCAATCATAACTTGGTAAATCAGGGCTGCATTAGCTTAATACATCTCTCAATCAGAACCCAATTGTAAAATTGATTCAAAATGTAGGCAATTTGGGGTCCATAATGGTCACTTTCCACCCAAATTATAATTACTTGATTTAGCTTCAAATTCATTAACTAGATTTAGATTACTTCTGTGTTCTTCAATATGGAAACACAAGTTTTCAGTGGAAGCAGAAAATCAAGGAACTTTGAAGCAGAGAAATAACCTGCATGAGAAAGAAGTAGAACCCAATCTGTAGTTTTAATCAAACATCTCCTCACATCAAACTACAAATACACCATTATAGTCTATGATTGCTTAAAAATAAATGTAATTAACAAACCATTGTGTTTATTAAAGCTGAAATTTCCTCTTCTCACCCAAATACCCCCTTTTCCCTTTTCTGAAGCTGAAAAAATCCTTAGTCTCCAATGTTAAGGATTAAAACGAAGTGAGGCCCAAAGCACGTAACGGAACGTCCAGGTGATAATCTGAGACAAGTTTGAAAGCACAAGGAATGTACATAAATAAGCCAAAAGAAATTGCACATAAACAAAATTACTTCATAAAAAATAGAAACTCTAAATGGGCCACTATCCACCATTTTTAGAGCCCATTAGGGACTATGGTTGGGCTTGCCCTAACAAGCTGCCCGCCCCACACAGAAGACGTTTTGGCGGGAGTTGAGCCCTCAACCTCCAAATTTCCAATTCCAAAAGTCCTTCTCAAACCCCAGAAACCTCAAATGCACTCCGATCTCTGAATCTCAGACAAATTAGAGAGTGAGAGAGAGAAATGGCTCGGGAGGAAGCGCAGCTGAGCGCGGCCAAGAAGTCGTATCGAAACGCTAAGGCTACGGGGAACCACGAGGAGGAGGCTCGGTGGGCGAATGTGATCGGTGACATGTTGAAGAAGAGAGGGGAATACGTGGAGGCCCTCAAGTGGCTGCGTATCGACTACGACGTCTCCGTCAAGTACTTGCCCCAAAAACATTGCCTCCCCACTTGTCAGTCACTCGGTGAGCTCTATCTTCGCCTTGAGTTTTACAAAGATGCTCTTCTATATCAGGTATTTTGTCGATTTGGGTTTGTTTCGTTTAAGTGTTTTTTAATGAATTTTTTGTCGGATTCTATGTTTTTATTTTTCGGGTTTAAGAATGTCGAATATTGGAAGTTGGGTAGTTGTGATTGTTTGATTGCTTGATTGCTGAGAAATTTGGGGAAAATGAAAACAGAACGAGGGATTTGGGTGAGATTATAACCAACTTATTATATTAATAAGAAGGGTTGAGCTGAGTGGAGGGGTTTTGTTTTCTGTGGGATCTGTAAAGGAAGTAGTAGACTTGAACTTCAGCATCTGTTTGGTTGTTGAGAATGTGCATGAAAGTGAAGCAGGTGAAGAACTTTGAGTAAGTAGGGCTTAATATGTTGGGCGCAGATTTGATTGTTTGAATTCTTGAATTGATCAGATTAAATAAAAGGCCAGGTTAATCCCTACATGTACTTTCAAGTTTCTAGTTCGTTGCAAAGTCTTAGCAACACCCATTGAGATATCAACTGTAGCCTTAATATTAGGTGAATAAATTATTTGACGTCTCTTATTCTGTAGAGAGATTTATCGAGAAATCATATAGTTTTGGATGTATGAGTGCTACTTTTGAGAACCAAAATTGAGTCTTTACCTGTTGTCTCTGTTGCAGAAAAAACATTTAGAGCTCGCTGAGGATGCCAATAATCTCATTGAGCAGCAAAGGGCCAATACACAACTAGGTCGTACCTACCATGAAATGTTTTTAAGGTCTGACGATGACCATTATTCGGTTCAGAATGCCAAAAAGTATTTCAAGTCTGCTATGAAGCTTGCACAGATTATCAAGGAAAATCCACCTACTAAGAATTGTTCTTTCCTCAAGGAATATATTGATGCGCATAACAATATAGGAATGCTTGAGTTTGACCTTGATAATCTGGAAGAGGCTCGAAAAATCTTAACTAAAGGATTGGAGATTTGCGACGAAGAAGAGGTAATGGCAGACGATGATGGGCGCAGCAGGCTCCATCACAACCTTGGAAATGTTTACATGGAGCTAAGGATGTGGGATAATGCTCGGGAACACATTGAGAAGGACATTATGATATGTAAAAGAATTGGCCATTGCCAAGGGGAGGCAAAGGGCTACATCAATCTTGGTGAATTGCATTATCGTATTCAGAAGTATGAGGAAGCACTCCTTTGCTACCAAAAAGCACGTGAACTGGCAAAATCAATGGAAGATGAGGATGCTTTACTCAGGCAAATTGATCAAAATATTGAAATTGTAAATGACGCCATTAAAGTAATGGATGGGCTGAAGAAAGAAGAGCAGAATCTCAAAAAGCTAACAAGAGACATGGCCATTACAAGAGGCACACCGCGTGAGAGGAAGTGTCTGCTGCAGCAAAATGCTTCTCTTGATTGCCTCATCGAGAAATCAAGGACAATCTTTGCCTGGCTGAAGGTACATACTTGGCTCAATGTGTTTTGTCTGCCTTTCTAACTTTTTTTTAAATGTATGTTGCTCTTCATAAGGAACAACGCTCCATCTTGTTGAGTTAGTCTCTTGTTTTTCTGTTATTCTTGTTATGCTATTAAGAACTTTTCCTGTCATTATTGAAAAATTTCATATTTCAGCTCCTTGAATTTGCGAAAAGGAAGAAGATAATAGCGAGTGAGCTTTGTGACCAAGAAAAGCTGAGTGATTCTCTTTTGGTTATTGGAGAATCATACCAGAAGCTAAGAAAGTTCAAGAAAGCCCTTAAGTGGTCCATGAAGAGTTGGGAAATATACAAGTCAATTGGTAATTTGGAGGTAAGTTGGTGTAGTTGGCCTTTTTTCTATAACATTATACAGTATGATGTGTAATTTAGTGTCCTTGACAGAAAAGTAATGTGGACATAAAACATGCTTAAATTAATTGTTAGTAGACTTTGGTAAGCTTGGTGCATGCGATATCATCTAACTAGAGATCGAGGTGGTCCTGCTGGGCAACAATGGGATTTCATTAATGTATATTGATTGTGTTGATGGTTGTACTGTACTTCTGTTGTTTGATAGATGCTGACTCAGAATTGTTAATGCGTAGGGGCAAGCGTTAACAAAAATTAATGTAGGTGATGTTTTGGACAGTGATAATAATTGGGAAGGAGCACTAGATGCATTTGAAGAGAGTTACAGGTATGCTTTTTCTAGTGGACATTTCTTTTTGGAATTCGAAGATCATAAAGAAGTTTTTTAATCACCATGGATTCTCTAAGGTGTCTGCATTCATGCTGAGCACAAAAATCGTCCTGGATGATTGCATATAAAATTGTGAAATACAAACATTTGATATCAAAAATATCTGAGCATGTGGCTCACATAGCTTTAATATGCTGTTTATTTATTTTTCTTTGGCATCTCATAGTTTTCAGTTGTTATAACAAATTATACAAACTGTGTGTTCACATGAAAAAGGAGTTGTAATTTTTGTTGTAGGGTGCGGAGAGTATTTATATTCAACATGTGAAAAATAAATCTTGAGAATAAGATGAAGATCATCTTTCATAATTCATGAATACAGTACATAGGTGTTTAAATAGAACACCAATACATCAATTGTCCTAATTATTTTCTAGAATCAACTTTTTTTGAACTGTACATCTGTAGTAGCTTCCATTTTATTTCTATTCATTTTTCCTCTATCCATTTGTTAAAACTGCTGCTTTTATTTATTAACATCATCATCGCAATTCACATTGTTTTTGAAATGTTGCTATGAGGTTCAGATATTTAATAATCATTTTGTTCATCTGAAATACAAAAGAAAATGAATCTAAATTTAGTCTTGAGAGAGGATATATATATTACGTAGATTATGGCTTTAATTTGGTCCATATGGAGATTCATTTTGAGGACTTGTGAATGATTCATGTAGCCAACCCCATATTTTGGATAGAGTTGTGTTTTTTTCCTTCAAAAGAGCTATTAGTAACTATTCTAGCTCAAAAGATACCCTAGAATATAGTCAATTAATTTGCCTATAAATGCATAAACTTTCTTTTCTGACCCAAAAATAAATTTTCTTGCTTTCAAGGTTTATGTTGAATTCATACTGTATTGTCTTTGCAGGCTTGCGGTTGAGGCGAACCTTCCTTCTGTACAGCTTATGGCGCTAGAGAACATGCACTACAGCCACATGATAAGATTTGACAATGTTGAAGAGGCCAGGTAATTCCTGCAAGTCCCTCACTGCTCTCAATGCAATGTAAAGTAATGACCAAACGGTTAATAATATAAGACTTTAGGTTGTATCATTATTTTTATAAAATTTTCAATAAGTTATTTTAAAAGGTGGATACCTCTGTGCAGGAGATTGCAGCATCGAATCGACAAATTGAAGCAATCAAAATATAAAGATCTTCAAACAAAAAATGTGGCAGAGGATCACTGCTCTGAATCTGATACAGAAGGGAGTGGTCATCTGTCAGATAATATGTGCAATGTATGCGGTTCATCAGAGATAAGAAAATGCAATTCTAGCAAATCACAATCTTTAGCCAGTTCGACCAAAGCTTCACCCAAGGTGAAATCCGCTCATTTAGGAAAACAAAATATTACAACTGAGACAAATGTTTCACAAAAAAGTTTGTCTGAACCAAACACTAATGAGCAGACAGTCGTTGGCCGTAAACGCATTCGTTTAGTCCTTTCTGATGATGAAGATGAAATGTATGATGAGGTACAATGCTCAAAAAGCTGGTCTAAAAAACTCCCATTAGAAGATGTTGCTACATCTGATGAACGTAAGTCTTAACCATTGACTAATTTGATCTACATATTTTAACCACAGTGAAGAGCCATAAAATCTAATGTTTTTCTTGTCTGGTTGCAGTGAAGATTAAAAGAAACACAGCCAGCCCTGCTCGTAAATTTCAGGTAGGGGCTCGTCTTGGATCGATTGTGATGAATAATCTCACCCTTGTGTTGTAGTTGGTTTTTAAGTGCTTAACCCTTTGGGTTTTGCAGGATGTCTCATCCTATACCTCAAATCGTACCACAAGGTCTTGCAATCCTGTTAATATTGAACAAAGCTCTAGTTCATGCAAATCCAGGACTCTTAATGTGGTCGCTCAAAATGGCAGAGGTTTTGGAGCTTCAAGCTCCGAAGAAGGTTCCATTGCTGCTAGTGGCTCTAAATGTGATATCAGTTTCCCCGAAAATCTAGTTAATAAGAATCATGGTGCCCATCTTATTTTTCTTACCTCTGATGATGAAAACAATGTGAGTGCTAGCCAATTTACTTGTAGGCAGATGGTTCTATCTGGTTGCATATGACTCTGCATCGTGCTGTTGCCACCATTACAGTTTTAATATTTACTAAATTGTGGTCTTTTGTAATTGCAGCAATGCATTACAGTCAAGATTGACAAAGACCTAATACGTTTGGATAATGGCTCATTTATGGATTCTGATAAGTTAAGCATTGAGTCTGTCAAGGTTGAACTGGCGTGCTTATACTACTTGCGACTTCCAATGGAAAGAAGATCAGAAGGTGGCATTTATTGAATTTAGTATGTTTGAAGTTGCTGATAGTTATGGCACTAAAACCTTGACATATAACTTATAAGTGATTCACTGCTGCAGAACAGACTGGGTTCAATTAATAGTTGCAATCAAGATGTTATTGCATACAAAGATTTTGTTATTTTTTATATTCTTTAACAGAAAGCAAGAAAGCATTGGAATGGTCCTTTCAACATTTTCACTATCCTCCAAGATGAAAACTAGGTGGATGGGCATATATGAACACTAGTGTGTTTGAAATAAGTTTGCAGTATGGCATTGGCACATATGGGGGAACTATAGTAACCTTGTTGAAATAATCATGCTAAAGATGATGATTTCACAATTAAAGAGTAGGGCACGGTCTCAGTCATGCATCACAAATTCTGGCCAAGTGGCTCACACATTGCTAAGCTTACCTCTGTGCTACTTTAGTTGATTGCATGTGTCTAAAACGATGCTCATGTAAATTCCACAACTTCTCTAGATTGCATCCTTAAGCGTTTTGGTACCATTGGGTTTAGATTGATATATAAATATATATATGTATATCAATCTATCTATCTATCTAGTGTTAAAGTATCTGTTTCCTCCAAAACAACTTGTGATCATACTAACACTTGGATTGTGCATTGTTAGGGCTACTTCCAATAATACAGAATATAAAATGTGGTGAAAGTGTCATACAATCCGTGGAAACATTTCAAAAGCTTAAGCAGGATATGGGGAAAGTCTTGGTTGAAGCTTTCATTGATGGTATGTGTTTCAACAGTTTGAAGCTTATTTCATATGTCCTCATCTTTATTTATATGATTTATAAAAACCTGTTAACAACTATTTGTAATTGTTATCAACAAACTAATCCTTATTTTGAATTATTTTCATAAATATATCTGGTTGATTTTCTTTTCCTGGGATTTTCTTGTGGGGTTGGGTGGATTTTGTTGAGATGTTATATTTTGATTAAATATATCTTCCTAACAAGTAATTTGTAGAGTATGAGGACTTTTTACTAACAAAAAAGAGAGAAGTTAAAGTACTTTTTGGTGCTGTTTCCACCGATTTTGTCAATTAGTTTTGGGTATGGGATCCTCTAACTTTAACATGGCATTAAAGCAGATAATTTATCTGCTAAGTCCAATATGCCCACACATGCTCCGCGTCATGTGTTTGGCTTAGGTCTGGCCACACATGAGGTTACATGCTGAGGTTATACAAATCCCCCATCGAATCCTCTAAGCCTTGCATCTCAATACATAAAATTTTGGGCCTCTCTTCCCCTTGCCAATTGGTTTTGAATTGGATGCTCCAACTAGTACAAGTCGCTTTGCTTGCATCTGTTGTAGATGGTTAGCTCCATGAGAATTTTTTAGGGTTTGAATATTCAATCTTAAAAGGTATATATGATTGATTCATCATAAACAGTTCTGAAGAAAACTGTCTTCCCAATTGCAATAGTTGCTGTGAAGACCTTGTGTAACTATAGCTAAATTAACAGAAAAGTTTAATAATCTGCTTGATGGGATTTTTCAAATTGGGAAATTACTGCTTCGAGGAGGTCAATATGATCTGTTTAAAATACTGAAGAAATCAGATGCTTTCATTTAAAGTCTTTTTTTAATCTCTTTGTCTCTGGAAACTTTTCAAACTGATGTTGGATGTAAAGAGAATTCGTCCAATACAACTATTTGGAGCTGAGGTAGATTTCTGAACTCTTGGTAGTCTTATATTGTTGAGCATACATATGATGATGCAGATTACTGAGTATTTTTTAGTCAGTCCCCAAATGGAGTTCATGGGCTTCTCTTGTTAATCACTTCAATGTAGTTGGTTTTCCTTTATATTTCCCCTTTAACTTTCTGCTAGCAATAAATGTAAGATTCTTATTAAATGGATTATATCCAATTTCTTTTTCTTCCTTTTTGTTAAAATCCAACTTTGCATGTTGCACAGGATGGGTCCAAAAGCGCTTGATAAAACTGTACACTGATTGCTGCTACAAGTTATCTGAGACACCTAATATGAAATTGCTTAAGAAACTGTATGATCTGGAGGTAAGACTGGAGGCAATCTAGTGAGGACATCTTTGTTCTGTATTCCACAACCTGTTGTAGGATGATTATAACATATTCTCTCATTGAGGCTTGAATATATCTTCTGATTTTGGTTCTTTTTTTGTCTACCAGTTTTCAGATGATGAAGTTACTGTCTCTGAATGTGAATTGCAAGATTTATCAATAGCTCCATTGTTGAATGCCCTGTATGCCCACAAAACATTTGCAATGCTGGACCTTTCTCACAATTTGTTAGGTAATTTTTTATTAACATTTTCAAGTGTTGCTTCTGGACTAGAAAGTGTGTTAGCCTTTCTCTTTGATATGCTACTACTAGACCGAACCCTCTTTAGTTCTTGCCTATATAAAAAATTAGTCCAGGAAATTTTGGGTAGTGTTAACTGTTTATTGGCTCGGTATTACCCAGGAAATGGTACAATGGAGAAACTGCAGCATGTTCTGACATCATCAGGCCAAAATTATGGTGGGTTAACGTTGGATTTGCACAGCAACCTATTTGGTCCAACTTCTTTGTTTCAGGTTTGTAACCAACTTAGCAAGAATTTTCATGTTAAAGCTTAAGTTGAGTGTTTTTGGAAGATTTACCCTACATGTTTTTCCCAAGTAGGGTTCTCTCGCTTTTGTTTGATGCTACAAGGATTTATTGTGCATTAATGGAGATAAGTGGGTTAAACTTGACTTTGCATTTCTAATATCTTGTGAGGTGGAGCAAAGGTATTACCTTTTCTTTTTTGGCCTGAACAACAATGGTACTACTAGACCTCACGGTAAATGTTAGAACATAGGAAATTTACAGTGTTAAGTTTTTTAGATTAATGGTATCAAAGCAGGAGATCTTGAGTTCATATCTTTGTAATGATAACCTCCTGAACTCCTAAATTCCTTTTGGTAGGGAGAGGCAGACATGTAGAAGGATTATTAGAATGTAAATTATTACCATACATCCTAAGTTGTGAAAAATGGTAAACCAATAAATTTCTCTGGAACTAGTTAATGACTGAAACTTCCTCTATCATATTGAGAAAGCTAGAACCACTTCTAAGGTGTCCCACTCTCTCTTTAAAGTTTCTTAATTAAAGGTTGTACGTATGAACTATTATTTTTGGCATTTTAAAATTTTCCAAGTCGGTGCCCACTTTTTCAAATAAACCCTTTCTACATAATATTCTATCTAATTACTAGTTATCTGGGACAATTGACAAAGAAACCCGTAAGATTAATAAAAATTGCACACATGTTTGGTGCATGTGAAGGAGCCACATAACTGTAAGTATTTCAAGATGCCAGTTTGATGTTGAGCCCATCAGTTTTAGTAGCCTACTGGTTCTTTCATGTCTGAACCCCCATTATCTTTCCTATTGTCTCTATTGATTGAAAATTTAGAAGAAAAAAAGAAGAAGATAATTCTCACGATATCAAGGTATTTGCAAACGTGGATTTTGTAGTTTTATATTTAATGATGATAAGTTGTAGTCATGAGTAGCATATTAAATTTGTTGTTAGCAGGGCAACAGTAGGGCCTTTCTGTATGTATAATAAGCTCACTATAAGTCTATAACCATTAGTGTGTCAATCTGTAGATTTGTGAATGCCCTTTGCTATTTTCTCGATTGGAAGTGCTCAATATCTCTGGAAACCGTCTCACTGATGCATGTGCCTCTTACCTTTCAACTATCTTGGAAAATTGCAAGGGTAAAGTGCTTTCCTTGAAGCTCAACTATTTAGAATTTTGGTTGCTGTTTCGTATCTATTATTAGTAGCATATGTGCTTCTTGCTAAATTTAATTCTTTTAACACAATTTGTTCAAAATAAGGCTTAAACGTCTCCATGTTTCTACTCTACTTATGTGGTATTCACTTGTAGCTCTTTGCAGCTTGAGTATAGAGCGGTGTTCTATCACATCTAGAACAATTCAGAAGGTTTCTGATGCATTGAATGCTTCTTCTGTGCTCGAGCAACTTTGTATAGGTACGCTTGACTTATCGTATTGGCAATCAGTATTATTCCCTGGACTCTTTATTTTCATTTAATACATTTTCTCAATTCCTCTCCTTCCACAGGACATAACAACCCAATTTCTGGAAGTACCATCACTGATTTACTTTCCAAGCTTGGCACTCTGAAAAGGTTTAGATTGAATTAAGTACATAGGTAACAGATATCCACTGACTGGTCTAAATATACAAATTACTTTCTCTAATGTAGATTTTCAAAATTAAATCTGAATGGTTTGAAGCTAAGCAAGTCTGTAGTTGATAGCCTTTGCCAGCTTGCTGCAACCTTGCCCTTCTCAGTATTAAGTCTTGGGGAAACTGGTATTGGAATTGTGAGTGCTCTCATTTTTCATAACTTACTGTTGTTGGACTTAATTCACTAGTCATATTCTCCTGTTCTTTTCTTTCAATTATTTATTTATTTATTTATTGTTTTGCAGGATGGGGCGTTAAGATTAACTGAGTCATTGTTCAATGGAACTGCAGAGTTTCTAAAATTTGACTTATCATATTGTGGTGTGACATCTAATTACGTTCTCAAACTAAGCACTGTTTCTTCTATGATTTGTGGCATTCTTGAGCTGAACCTTTCCGGAAATCCTATTATGCAGGAGGTTTGTTCTTTTAACTCGGGATTTTGCTAATAGTTAAACTTGTTATGCTTGTCTTTTTGCAACTAGTAACCATTCTGGGTAGTGTGTGTGATGAGTATGCTATACCATTAAGCTCTTTCTGCCAGCTACGATGTCTGAAAATGGCAGTAGTATGATGAGTATCAGAGATGACCATCTTAATAAATAACAGTAAAAGATGACTCTGTTTTACAGCTTGAATACCAAACAGTTTGAGTCTAAAAGATGTGTATTTAACTTGTCTCAGTCTAAAACTGATCTAAATCGTTCAAATTTAAAATTACATGTAAATATGTAGCCCTGATATTCCTGAGGTTGTTTAGTTGAACCTAAATGAGATTATTTTGTCATTAACCCTCTCCTAGCCCGGTGGTGTCAGATTCAAACCTCCATGGCACCTTGGTAGTTTGTGTGAGAGAAATCCCCCTTCCCTTGTAGTTTAGACTATGACTCATATTCAACAACCAAAAAAAAAAGGGGCCTTCTGTTTTTAATACATTGTTTGCTAATGGCACCATCTATACATTTGCTTGGTCCTTCCGCTTTGCTTGTGTCACTTTTGGCATGAAATGCATTCCTCACCATGTATTCATTGAGTTTCATCATACATGGCCAAATCCTTCTAATCGGCTTTATCTAATATCATTCATAGATGGGACATCTTTACCTTCAGAGCAGTTTCCTTTCCACTTTCCCCTGTAATCATCTATCTTGATAGTTTTAATCTACATTCCCTTTTCTCCCCTTTGATATGCCGAGAACGGTATATGGAACCCTGCAATAATTACCGAAGTTCCATTCACACGGTTGAACTAGCAAGTTGAGGGATCTGTTTGTGATTGTACATATCTGATGTAATTTAGAACAGATCTGTTCATATCTGCATACTTGCATCTTCTGTACACTTTGTGGTTGCTTGCAGCCCTTGAAGTCTCTGGTGGTCAACCTTTGTCTTTTAGTACCACCAGTAAATTCCAGATGGAATTTGACATGGTGTTCAGTTAAATGTGAATGTAATGGCTATATATATGGCTATGTATTCAAAATTTGAATATTCTCTGATAACATAATCTATCAGTCAGAAAATCCTGATTACCATTCAATGTTCCCTTCTCTCAATAGGATGTTGTCATTTGTCCTTAAGCTAATCTAAGTGCTGTGAAAGAATTTCTGACCTTATTGAAAACAAAAAATGGTAGTCCATGCTATTCTAATTATTTTAATTTCAGACTTGTTATACTGACCTGATCCAACCATGAACACAGGGTAGCCTTGCATTATCATCAATGCTTTTGAATTCTCAATGTTGTCTGAAACTTTTGGTCCTTCAAAAGTGCCGGCTTGGGACTGCTGGAGTTCTTCAAATAATGCAGGCATTATCAGGTTCACACCACTAAGTCCACTTCAGTTCTAAATATCAGTCCCTCCCTAGAAATGAACTTACAATTTGTTGGTTCGATGTTTTGAGCAGGTAATGGTTTTCTCGAAGAGTTGAATCTAGCTGATAATGCCAATCTTGATAGACAGAACTCTGCTCAACCGGGGTCATGCAATGCGAACACCAACTTAGATGGGCTTGAAGTTGCTGATAGTGAAGATGATGAAGTAAAAGCTGCTGCATCTGGACTTGATGACAACCACACAAGACCGTGCCAAAGAAATTCCTCATCTTCTGGATGTCAGTTTATTCAAGGGCTTTCAAGTGCCATTGATATGGCAAAGAATTTACGATTACTGGACCTTAGCAATAATGGTTTCTCCACACAAGACGCGGATATACTGTATTCTTCATGGTCAAGATCAAGATTTGGTTCAGCTCAGAGGCATATAAAGGACCAGATCATCCATTTATTTGTGGAAGGAATCAAGTGTTGCGTGAAACCCTGCTGCAGAAAGGACTAGTTTTCTTGCTGCTACATCTTCATTGAGGGATTTGCAGGGAGGATTTGAGGCACTTGGGAAGCTTAAGCTATTTTTATTTTATTTATGTGTATATATATTTATATTACCCTTCAATAAGTTCCACTTCCAGCAGACTTCCAGTTGAGTTCCAATGAATTTTCTTAATAATATTAAAGTCTTTTAGTTTCGTACCAAACACACCCAGTCTCTGTTTTTTTATTTACATGATATACAGTGGATAATCGGTCTTTTTACCGGTTGTTTTGTTTTACCGACCGATTGATCGAACCTCAGAAGATCAAAGAGTAAGAGATATTTAGTGATATACCAATTCTTAGCACTAATATTATAGATAAACCATACATCATTGAATTTCTATAAACAAACTCAAAAAAATCTCAAAAAATGATAGCTGGTCTTATTGAATTTAATATTGATTATTAAATTATTTTGATTATCTATTGAGTATTTTATGAGATTTTGGGGTTTGGTTTATTTTAAGAAATTGATGGCAGTTTTGTAATTTATAAGAAGTTAAAAGCCTCTTTATTATGTTATAAATGGGCTTTGGGTGTGTTTCTAAAATCCATTTCATATGAGGTATTTTTATAATTTGGGCTCTTATATTGGGTATAATAGTGAATCTCCCCCTACATAAATTAAAAAATGTCAATAAATCATAAAAGAAAAGAAAATGTTAAATTAATTTAATTGATGTGGTTGTCCATCTCATTTTCCATATAAGGTGGTATGAGAATGTGGTATATAAAATGCGGTAAAAGTAGCATTTTGGTGTACTCACAAGCGCTTTTATGGGCCCGAGTCCTCTTGCTCATGCATTTGTTTTGCATGTCGTAGAGCAAGTGTTGGCTTTTAAAACAAGCACTTTTATGGGTTTCCAAGCTTCGTTTACAGTATCTTGATATTAAATGTGATTCCAAGACTCTAATACAAATCCTTAATAAAGAAATTCAACTTGTTGACAATATTTGGCAACTGGTACAATCTTTTAACAGGGTTTCTATAAAGCATATCTTCCGTGAAGTTAACATGGCCGCCCCAAAACTCTTGCCAAGAAAGAAAGGACATCATTTTACAAATACTTGTATTCGGTTCCGTTCCGGAACTAAGTGTTACTTAAATTTAAGTTTGATTTGTACGGTTGTTAGATCCCTCGAGAATCTTCTTCTGCACTTTGTTTTCAAGCCAAAGTAAAAAATAAATCAATCAATCGAAGACTGAAATGTAGCACGATTCGATTCAAAGATATATGCCGTGCTGTATTGGAGTCGTATACCGAGCTTTGTTGGGTGAGATTTCATGCCAACACAACCACAAAACCAACACCATCTTTCCATGATATATTATCTAGTGATGGAAGCTCATATTACGTGCAGTTTGAACACCAAAAATCTGATCCCTAAACGTTAATATGAAAAGGTTATATTATATCGACTATATGGAGAAAGATTATTGTTTCGCCACAAAAATGCAATATTTTCTGTTTTGACAACTTTGATCAGTTCAGCATTGTCCTGCCCTGATGATACGCGTTTGTGAATCCTTTATAAGGGCAGACGTATCCATGTGAGCCATTTCTCTTAGATACAGATTTTGTTATTTGCATGTATATGTGAATCCTAATTATTATAGGTTTACTATATCATAAAGTCCATACCATTTAAAATTTTTTGGGAGGAGAAATTCTTGTGTGATGTGTGGGACGAATGTGGGATCCACAGGCGTGGGGCCCACTGCTTCACTACAGCATTTCATATGAAATTTTTTTCATGTATGTGTATTGCCTATTTAGTATGATGACCAGGAGAATGAAACATAGGTTCAAAATGCCACTCTTTTTATAATTTTAATTTAAAATACCATTTTTTTTTTCACAACTATCACCTATAAATATAGATTTATTGTCCTCTTATTACACACGTATCACATTTTTAGAAATTTTGTTCTCTCTCAGCTCACTCAACCCTCCTCCCTCTCTCTCTCTCTCTCTCTCTCTCTCTCTCTCTCTCTCTCTCTCTCTCTCAAGCAGCTCTGTCTCGATCTCTGTTCTAAATTGCGAACCCCTTCTTCGACCCCATATTTTAGGCATGTCTTCTAAATAGCTGCTTGCAGCCTTGAAGCTCTATTGGATCGCCGACCTTGAATAAGTAGTTTTGATGGTTATTTTCATAATATCTGTTGGAATATGTGAAATTGGTTTTATTTTGATTGCTTGGCTTTATGTTAAATTGGTTTTGGCTTTAATTGCTTTGGGTTAGATTTTTTGAATCTTCATTATCATCCATCTGGATTTTTACCAATTACATTTAGATTGCTCTGGACATGTAAATCTTGAAACTTTGGACTTTCCATTTGATGTAGTGGATTTGTATAGTGTGATTGTGATGAATCCTTGTTCAGTACTGTGTTACTGTTGTATTGCTGTTGTGTTCCTGTTATTTTGCTGTGGTATTGATATTATATTGCCTGGTTATTGTGGTTGTATTGTGTTAATAAAATGTTGTTTTTTCATGGTTAGAAATGGAGACAGTTGTTATTCTGGTTTGCTACAATGGAAAATGGGTAACCTCAAAGAAGATGTGCAAATACGAAGGGGGTAACTCGAAAGGCTTAATAGTGCCACGGACCATCACATTTGTTGAACTGTTGGACCGTGTGCATCAAATTGGTAATACAAACAGCAGGGAAGACAAGGTTTGCTTAAAGTTCTCAGTTTTGGTGGCCTCGAATGAGTGGAAGCACATAAAGATTGAGGACGATGATGATGTCAAATTTTTTATGAAGTACAATTATGAGGTAACACCTTCAAAACTAGCTTCCTTACTCGTGAGTAGAGAAGATAATGGACTGACAAATGATGTAGTTGATATTATGCATATCACGACAGATAGTAGTTGGATTGGTCGTTCTTTAGTTGCCATTGTTGAAAGCAATGAAGTAACTCGGAATAATACAAATGTCGCTGATGTGGGAGGTGATGTTGGGACAGATTTTATAGACATGATTGATTTTAGCGAGGTGGAGGAAATGCATGGTGGTGATAATGGTACTGAAAGAAATGAAGTGTCAGTGTACTCTGCCCCTCCTATTTTAGGCCCCTTGAACACATCTACCCAATTGCCAATAATGCATTTAGGAGGAGAATCTGAACCCACTCGTAAACATTATTTGAGTCAAATGGGTGAACAAAATGGGTACAATGTGGCCAATGTAAATGATGGAGAAGCATATTTGGACACAGGGTATTCGTGAAGTGATTGGAATTTGAAAATTACAATTGGGAAAATTTTCTCTAGTAAGGGAGTATTGTTGACCGAGTTACGGTTGACAGCATTGAGAGGCCGCTTTGAATTTAAGGTGCAATTATCTTGCACTAAGAGGTTGCTTGTGGTTTGTTGTCAATGTCCATGCCCATGGCCGGTCCGAGTATCGAGAATTGGAGAATACAACTTCATGATTGTGAGGTGTACAGCTGTCCATGAATGTGATTTGAGGTTAGTAAATGACAACCATCGTCAAGCAATCGTAGCACTTGTAGCCACTTCATTTAAAAGGAAGTTAATGGATTCTCGAACAATATACACACCAAGTGACATAATGAGAGACGTGAAACACAACTTTGGTTTCACCATCCATTATTCGAAAGCTTGGAAAGCAAGTGAGTTAGTTCTATTGTCCATTAGAGGATCAGCTGAGGAGGCTTATTATATCCTTCCAGCCTATTGTTATGAATTGGAGAGTATGAATCCCGGCACAAAGACACACATCCAAACTTGATGAGAACAATCACTTTGTGTATTTATTTATGGCAGTTGGCGCATGTATTAGAGGGTTTCGTTCTTCCATGCACCAAGTGATAGCCGTGGATGCCACTCATTAAAATCTAAGTACAAGGGTGTTATGTTTGTAGCAAATGCATTCGATGGCAATCGAAATATACATCCTCTTGTTTTTGGGATCGGGGATTTGGAGAAGGATGCATCATGACATTGGTTTTTCACTAAACTTCATGAAGCCATTGGTGAGTGTCCCAATCTTGTTATCATTTCTAATCGTAATGTTAGCATAGAGAATGTGTGGAACAAAGTTTTTCAAACAACCCAACATGGCATATGCTTTTATCATATAAAGGGGAATATGAAAAGCACTTGCAAGTTGAAAAGGCGTGATCAAATACTTATGCACTTTGAGCAGGTTACGAAATCTTATTCCATTGCTGAATTTGATTGTCATTTTCAAAAGATCAAGAGAAATGAACATGTTGCTCAATATCTTGAACATGCAGGGTTACATAAGTGGTCTAGAGCTCACATGGATATATGCCGCTACAATGTAATGACAACAAATATTGCAGAGTCAATAAACTCAGTCTTTAGGTTTGCAAGGATGCTGCCAGTGGTACATTTGATGGGGAAATTATTAATCTCCTTGTGAAATAGTTCACCGAACGTCGTGAGTTGGCTATAAATTGCACAACAACATTGTGCCTCAATTTTGGCTAGAAGAAGTTGAGGAATAGGTTGGAGGATGCTGCAAGGATGAATGTCGTGAAACTAAATAATGTACAGTTTAATGTTTTGGACAATGATATGGACAGCTTCGTGGATTTGACGAACAACAGTTGTAGGTGTAGAAAGTTTTAGCTTGAGCAACTACCTTGCAAGCATGTAGTTGCAGTTTGCCGCTTCTTGAAACTAAATGTATACTCAAAGGCTTCTTGGTATTACACTCGGAATACTTGGTTGGATGCTTATTCGGATAGTATCTACTCAGTACAGCCTCATGCAATGTGGGTTATTCCTAAAGATGTTCGAAGTCGAGTTGTGTTGCCTCTCATGGCAAAGGTCATGCCAAGCAGACGGAAGAAGCTAAGAATTCCCACGCAAGGAGAGGGCACTATTACAAGAAAGTGCTCAAGGTGCGGTTCCACAGGCCACAATAAAACCACCTGTAAAAACAATATCACACTGCGCAATGTATCTTAGCCAATATGATTTGTGTTGCTTTGTTAGCTACAGTCAACTTTAACTTTATTTGTGGTGGGTTTCGTGTTATGTTGAATGTGAATTGTGTTAAATTTACATAATTTGGGTTGCATTGCCATACAACATGTTGTGTTCCCTATTTATATTCATAGTATCGCTATCGTATTGTAATTTTATTGCCTTTAGATTG